TAAGAAAAAATAGATAAGGTAGATAGATAGATAGATAGATAGATAGTTAGATAGTTAGATTAGATAGATGAGATAGATGAGATAGATGAGATAGATTAGATAGATGAGATAGATGAGATAGATGAGATAGATGAGATAGATGAGATAGATGAGATAGATGAGATAGATTAGATAGATTAGATAGATTAGATAGATTAGATAGAGAGGATAGAGAGGATAGAGAGGATAGAGAGGATAGAGAGGATAGAGAGGATAGATAGGATAGATAGGATAGATAGGATAGATAGGATATAGGATAGATAGGATAGAGAGGATAGATAGGATAGATAGGATAGATAGGATAGATAGGGTAGATAGGATAGATAGGATAGATAGGATAGATAGGATAGATAGGATAGATAGGATAGATAGGATAGAATAGGATAGAATAGGATAGAATAGGATAGAACAGGATAGAATAGGATAGAATAGGATAGAATAGGATCAATAGACGGATAGACGGATAGACGGATCGATGGGATCGATGGGATCAATGGGATAGATGGGATAGATTGGATAGATTAGATAGAGTAGATAGATTAGATAGATTAGATATATTATATATTAGATAGATTAGATAGATGAGATAGATGAGATAGATGAGATACATGAGATAGATGAGATAGATTAGATAGGTTAGATAGATTAGATAGATTAGATAGATTAGATAGATTAGATAGATTAGATAGATTAGATAGAATAGAGAGAATAGCTAGAATAGATAGAATAGATAGAATAGACAGAATACAATAGAATAGATAGAATAGAATTGATTGATAGATAGATAGATAGAAAGATAGATAGGTAGGTAGATAGATAGATAGATATCAAATATAGATATCAAGTATAGATATCAAATATAGATATTCTTTATATCAATATATATATATATTATAGTATATATGCAGATCAATTGGTGCAGCTGGATGAATCGGTCATGTCAGGTTACCAAGTCTGGCACTCCCATCATCGGATTCATGGCCGGATCAGCGCAGCACCTAAGTTCTTGGTGTCATCAATTTCTTCAATCAGGAACCGAGACAGGGACCAGAATTTGAGGGTGCACAAGTTTCCCAGTCCCCAACATGAAAAATCTGAATTCTCCCAGTTGGGCTACGCAAGTCCTGAAAGAGTCTGAAATCTCATAGCTCTGAGGAGAATGCCCTGCCTGGGGCAGAAACCGGCAAAACTCTCACCGAACCGCACTGGCCGCGGCCGCGCACCTGCCCTCTTGGCGAAGTGCTCCGAACATCTGCCCTAGAAGCCCTACGCTGAGAGCATGGTGGCAAGCAAATGGCGAGTGCGGTTCACCAACGGCCGATGACTTACTGCAAACGAAGGCAATCGTACAACTCAACGGCAGAAAAAAAATCTGACAGCCGCCCTGCTTGCATGCACTCCACACTCTTTCAGGCCATCAAGCTAATTGGTTTTGCAAGATCTTGCATCTTTTACAAACATCATTAAGTGGCACCGCAATGATGCCAAATTAGAAGTGTCCTTCGCATGAATTAGATTTCTGCATGGCAAACAGCATCAGACAGGCTGTGAAGTCCCTTCTGCATGGACTCCATGGACCATCATGAAGACCTGGATGCTAGGGTCCCGAAGGCCGTAGCAACAGCCTGGTCAGCACACGTTCTTCATGTTCAGCCAGTGTTGATTTGGGTTTGGCACATGCATCATGGAATGATGATTTCGATTATCAGTGGCATTTATCATTGCATACGTGAATGCAAAGATATGAAACATCTCGCTCGGGCACTGGCACTCATGTGTGCCCGCAATGCGGACAGCTCAGCCTGCCGACCGTGGCAGCACTGGCATGACCCTTCTTGACAGGGAATGCCAAGAACTCCCAAAGAAAACTGGCAAGTCCCGTAAGGCGGCAGCTGTGACTGCGATTACAAGCAACATGGCTTGCGGTTTGACCGTCCCATGCCGATGCTTATGAAAGCATTTGTCGGAATTCCACCAAAGCTAAAATGAAGAATGCGAAGAGCGAGCCTGCAAAGCTTTGATAATGGTCTCTTGGTGCGATACCCGGTCTTCAAGTTGTGCCAGACGTTCCTCGGAGCCTCTCAATGACTCAATGAAACCAAAGAACGTGACACCCCGGCTTTGGCAGATCAGCATGGGCCTGATGGAGAAACATTCCCACGACTTGGAAGGCTACCAGGCACCTTATTTGGTGCCAATGGGTTGTCGATGCAACAGCTGAAGAATGAAAACTACAGTAACTCAGTAACTACAATGTAGCAATGCCGGGTTGCAAAAAGCGTCAATCCTCGAAACATCAAGGGCACATATGCCTCAGCAGTCCCTTCCTGCACAAGCAGCACCCAGTGTGTCCAGAGTTGTGTGCGTGTCCTTTCTCAAGACTCTTCAGCGGCTTGTTGCATGTGCAAAAAGGGCAGGCATACAATATGTATACAGTATACAGTATAAATACATGCACACGCACATACACATGCACATAGACATACACTTACACATACACATACACATGGTTGTTGATCAAAATTCCTTTATCCCGGAACGGCCATTCTTCGCGAATAAAAATTTTACTTTCGCGAAACTTTCGCGAACTCCATGTTTATCTTTCGCGGGGCCCATGTTGGCCAACAACACCTCTTATGAAGATTCGTTCACCAACTGCCAAATTACGCCAGAGAATTTCGGATCACTTCTTGGTAGCCTTTTAAACATGCAGCTAGCATCACGGAATCCCTTCTCAGGACAGACTTTTTTTTGCAAAGTTTACTGGCCCACCCCCTTCAACATGCACTTTGACTTTCGCCCGCTCTTTCGCATAACTTTCGCGGAACTTTCGCGAAAATATCCCTATTCACAGACCCCGGCCATCAGCAGGTGCACTGAAGGAAAAGCGAAGACCAGGGGCCTTGGTGTTTGGCTCTCGCAAAGCCTCACTTTTGGAAACTTGGCTACTGCTACTCGCATTCTCTGGTGCCCTTCTCCTGCCGGACCCCGGGCGGCAGTGGGTGGCAGCCCTTTACATATAATGATTATAATACCCAACTTTCGCGAAACTTTCGCGAAATAAAATTTTACTTTCACGAACTCGAAAAAAGACTTTCGCGAGGGTTTCCAACATAACATGCACGGCTTTCGCAATTAAAACTCCTTACAAGGACCTTTAGATTAACCATCACATACACCATATACATACGTTTTCATCTAACAACTGCTCCGTATCTGTGTCTGCCTGCATGAGTTGTGCCCGTGCGCGCGTATCGCGATACTGTTGTATCAAGATCGCTTTTCCGGAAACACGGTCGTATTCCCCATGGTTTCAATTAAATGGACAAGGGTTCCAGGTTATCCTTGCCTTTCGAATTTGAGGTGTGCTGTCAGAGCATGTACGATGCGCATATGCCATATGCCCTGCACGTGCTGTGTTTATTTTTCTGTGCCTGGCTGCGACCACACTTCTGCATGTGGGCATGGCACTGCATGCTTTTTCTATGCTTGTACATGGCCATGACATATCCCTCATGACAGTTGCAGACAAACACGCACAACCTTCAAGCATTCAAGTACCTTGACAAGCGCACTGGCATCAGCAAGTGTCAGCAAGGTCCGTTCCCCTCATGGATGGCAAACATGAAGCAAACACAAATTGCAGAGACGAGATGTTGCATTGCAGAGTCCTTCGCCAAACGAAACCGAAGGAAGTCTCCAAACCGGCCAGTGGAGTAAATCTCCTGAGCTTCTCATCTAACATCATCTGACTCCGACCCCATGCAATGTCCAATGCCTTCAACACATTCAATACACGCCTCACTCGCTTCAGTGTGCATCTCAATTGCAGCCAGGTCTCTGTACCATGCGGAAAGCAAGTCAAATACTCACTCTGATGGGAGGGCGCGGCACGAACTGCCACAGTCGCTTCGGGGGGGAACGACTCTGAGCAAATGAAGCGTTTGGGAGGCTCAAAAATCTCGTCCGCAACGACACCTGCATTCAGTTTGGGTTGTTCCACCTTGCCTCCTGACAGTTCCAGCTCTCTGCTTTCTGAACTTGTTGCAAGTGAAGACTTGCTCATCTCAGCCGGTGGATTCTTAAACATATCCATGGCCTCTTTGAAAATCACACTTCCTACAGCACGAGCTTGGCTTTTGGCCCCACCTTTGGCTTGCAAAGCTCTCTGCAGTGCTTCCAAACCAGGGCCATTTGACTTGCTGGTATGCCTTTGCAGTGCATCAAGTCTATCCGCGCTAAGGCAGTTGTGGTAGTTGGCTCCAGCAGCGATGATATCCGCAAGAACTGCAGCATCAAGGAGTGAGAGCATAGGATGCAAACCTGCTGCTTCCTTTCCCTTACCTTCCGCCCACCACAACTGGAATCGCTGAATCTGGTCTTGCTGCTCCAGAATGGCCTCTTCTGTAGATGCTACTGCTGCTGCTGCCTCTGCATCTTTCTCTACTTTCACCGGATCTGATTTCTCCACAAACAGCACCAAGCCATCCAAAACACGAGGGACCCACACATACTGGACTTCGTTGTTCTGACCTTTGTCTAACTTGAACTGAAGGTAAGTGCCCCTTGCAGCAGTTGCCAAACCCTCCGAGCCATAGGGCAAGCTTGTTACCAAGCTGCTGGCTTTGTTGGGTTCCAGGCGCACTGCGACAGTTGCTTCAGGGGGGAACGACTCTGAGCAAATGAAGCGTTTGGGAGGCTCAAAAATCTCGTCCGCAACGACACCTGCATTCAGTTTGGGTTGTTCCACCTTGCCTCCTGACAGTTCCAGCTCTCTGCTTTCTGAACTTGTTGCAAGTGAAGACTTGCTCATCTCAGTCGGTGGATTCTTAAACATATCCATGGCCTCTTTGAAAATCACACTTCCTACAGCACGAGCTTGGCTTTTGGCCCCACCTTTGGCTTGCAAAGCTCTCTGCAGTGCTTCCAAACCAGGGCCATTTGACTTGCTGGTATGCCTTTGCAGTGCATCAAGTCTATCCGCGCTAAGGCAGTTGTGGTAGTTGGCTCCAGCAGCGATGATATCCGCAAGAACTGCAGCATCAAGGAGTGAGAGCATAGGATGCAAACCTGCTGCTTCCTTTCCCTTACCTTCCGCCCACCACAACTGGAATCGCTGAATCTGGTCTTGCTGCTCCAGAATGGCCTCTTCTGTAGATGCTACTGCTGCTGCTGCCTCTGCATCTTTCTCTACTTTCACCGGATCTGATTTCTCCACAAACAGCACCAAGCCATCCAAAACACGAGGGACCCACACATACTGGACTTCGTTGTTCTGACCTTTGTCTAACTTGAACTGAAGGTAAGTGCCCCTTGCAGCAGTTGCCAAACCCTCCGAGCCATAGGGCAAGCTTGTTACCAAGCTGCTGGCTTTGTTGGGTTCCAGGCGCACTGCGATAGTTGCTTCAGGGGGGAACGACTCTGAGCAAATGAAGCGTTTGGGAGGCTCAAAAATCTCGTCCGCAACGACACCTGCATTCAGTTTGGGTTGTTCCACCTTGCCTCCTGACTGTTCCAGCTCTCTGCTTTCTGAACTTGTTGCAAGTGAAGACTTGCTCATCTCAGCCGGTGGATTCTTAAACATATCCATAGCCTCTTTGAAAATCACACTTCCTACAGCACGAGCTTGGCTTTTGGCCCCACCTTTGGCTTGCAAAGCTCTCTGCAGTGCTTCCAAACCAGGGCCATTTGACTTGCTGGTATGCCTTTGCAGTGCATCAAGTCTATCCGCGCTAAGGCAGTTGTGGTAGTTGGCTCCAGCAGCGATGATATCCGCAAGAACTGCAGCATCAAGGAGTGAGAGCATAGGATGCAAACCTGCTGCTTCCTTTCCCTTACCTTCCGCCCACCACAACTGGAATCGCTGAATCTGGTCTTGCTGCTCCAGAATGGCCTCTTCTGTAGATGCTACTGCTGCTGCTGCCTCTGCATCTTTCTCTACTTTCACCGGATCTGATTTCTCCACAAACAGCACCAAGCCATCCAAAACACGAGGGACCCACACATACTGGACTTCGTTGTTCTGACCTTTGTCTAACTTGAACTGAAGGTAAGTGCCCCTTGCAGCAGTTGCCAAAACCTCCGAGCCATAGGGCAAGCTTGTTACCAAGCTGCTGGCTTTGTTGGGTTCCAGGCGCACTGCGACAGTTGCTTCAGGGGGGAACGACTCTGAGCAAATGAAGCGTTTGGGAGGCTCAAAAATCTCGTCCGCAACGACACCTGCATTCAGTTTGGGTTGTTCCACCTTGCCTCCTGACTGTTCCAGCTCTCTGCTTTCTGAACTTGTTGCAAGTGAAGACTTGCTCATCTCAGCCGGTGGATTCTTAAACATATCCATGGCCTCTTTGAAAATCACACTTCCTACAGCACGAGCTTGGCTTTTGGCCCCACCTTTGGCTTGCAAAGCTCTCTGCAGTGCTTCCAAACCAGGGCCATTTGACTTGCTGATATGCCTTTGCAGTGCATCAAGTCTATCCGCGCTAAGGCAGTTGTGGTAGTTGGCTCCAGCAGCGATGATATCCGCAAGAACTGCAGCATCAAGGAGTGAGAGCATAGGATGCAAACCTGCTGCTTCCTTTCCCTTACCTTCCGCCCACCACAACTGGAATCGCTGAATCTGGTCTTGCTGCTCCAGAATGGCCTCTTCTGTAGATGCTCCTGCTGCTGCTGCCTCTGCATCTTTCTCTACTTTTTCTTCATACGGTTCCTGTTCTGCATCTGCAATCGGAAGGTGTTCAAGGGATGGCTCATTTGCAGCCCCAGCAGCTGTCGTACCGAGACGCGTTGGTGAGTTCGAATCAACCCTCTCCCTAGGCAAAAGAGGAGATTCAATGGAATCAGGAGCAGAGTGATCAAAGCGACCCATTTCTTCTGAGTTGGTTTCTGTCTTGCACACTTTGTCGCCCACAAACAATGCTTTGCCGGAGCTCAAGTTGACTGAAGGGCCCCCCTTTCCATCTTCATAAACCAGTCGGGCAGTATTGAAAAGCAGTGCGCCAACCTCAGTTGCGTGTTGGCATCTATGATATGAATTTGAGGTCGGACTGTGAGGCATTGCAGTACAAGGACATAGAATCAGCATTTGCTACCAGAATCCAAGAAAAGAAACGGCACGGGCTTGATTTCTCGCACCCCCTTTGGTTTGCATGGCTTTTCGAAGGGGATCGAGGGCAGTGTCACCCGCTGCTTCTTCCAACTTGTTCAACAGTGTGTCCAACTTCTCAATGCCTTCGGTGCCAGCGGAAAGTTTGTGTAACTGTGTTCTCCTGTGCCAATTCATTTATGCCAGTAATTTGCGACAATCTAGATCTCTAAGGACTTTGCCCAAGCAGGTGTGATAAGCAGCACCGGCAGAAATAACTTCCTGAAAAAAATGAGCAGATTTAGACGTCTCAAGATGTCTCAAGTAGTCTCAAGTAGTCTCAAGTCTCGAGGCTCGCAGTTTTCTCAAGACCATAATTTCTAGCCCTCGAAAGTACCGATGGAACGCATGCCGCCAAGTCGCAGCGAGAACATCTGGGTCAACCTTTTCATGATTCACAAGAGTTCTAAAAGCCGAAAGGTCACAGAAAAGTGAAAGCAAACATCGTTTCCAAATGAAAAAAAAAACATAGCACGTGGCATTTTGAGGTCCGAGCAATATGTAATAATGCGTGAGAAGCTGCAACTTCATTGCCATGGCCCTCTGACCACCACTTTTGAAAATTCAAAATGTGGTCTTGCTTCTGGATGATTGCCAAAGACCTGCAACATTGTGATGAGACCCATGCAGCAAAGAACGATACGTTTCAAATTCCCATGGTGTGTGCACATCAGCGACTCCTGTCGTAAGTGCAGGACGCATTGTTCTGCACCTGTGTGGCGATGCAAATGAATGGGACATCTGACCAACCGGACCAACTGCCTAAAGTCGGGGACCTTCGAATCCTTCTCGCTGTTGTTTGTTTGGGCCACTGGCCTTCGTCGCATTCCAGGCCGAATGAAATGAAACAAGTGAAACTCAAACTAGGGGACTGTCAGAATCTGTCGGCATCTGTAAGGTCCATACGGGGCGTTTTCCTTTCCAACCTTGGCACACATACAATGCATACAGTCTGTTTGGTGCAATTTGGCACAGCTCAGGAACAGGCAGGAGACGCTACCATCAGGACACCCTTAACTACATAAGGGTAGCAGAGAGTTATGCATTTACTGGAAACAAATCAATCAATACTAAAAAACGGTTGACTTGAAAACGCTAATTTCAAAACAACTTGTAAAAATCATCAATTCATGTGTCATCTATGCCTGTTTGTTGCCTCCCGGCTTGACTTGAACCAACACACGTTCGACTATCTGTCGGAAACATTCTATTTTTCCAGGTTTCAGGGCCCAAAAAAACGCTCGCAAGGAAAACGCGAGGGAAATGCTTGTCAAACGTCGCCAAAAAAAACTGTTGTTTGCCTAAACTTTGGAAATATAACAGCACATGATATGCGCCTATAATCATACGTGCATCTGGTGTATCACTGTCGGTTCGTATAAGCATGCCGCAACCGAGTTGAAAGGAAGGCAAGCAACACGAAAGGTAGCTGGGGGATGCTGGGGGCATTTGTCCAGTTGGGGTTATGTCTTTGAAGCATATGTCCGCAACCCTTAAGGGGTTTTTCAAACCGGCCTATGGTTTTTAGATTGTTTGTGTATGTTCGTGTGATTTTGTGCACTGCTGAACACCTGTTTACCTGCAACGTGCCGCATGAGGCCAGCATGGCAAAATATGTTCAGAACATACATGAGGTAGCCATTTTCAGCTGTCAAATGCAAAAAAAACCTTTCAAGCAGAAAAAAAATTAGCCGCTCACGTGCCACGTTTTCAATCCACTGACTGAAATTCGTACAGGAAGAGGCTTGATGGTAATGACGTGGTTCAAAATTTTGCACGTTTTTCGATGTCTAGAGCAGGCGGTGCTTTGTGTGCAATCCCAGACAAGGCGCTCTCCGGTCTCCGCGAACCAATTTTTGGACGCCATGATTTGTGAGGAACCACGCGTTTTGGGGGCCTCACCTGAATTCACCACAGGGTTGATGGTGGAGGCCGAGGTGGAAGCGGGATCTCGATGCTGCCGTTATTTTTCCGGTCGCTTGTTTGACAGATGCAGTTTGTGGGGTGATGCGTGAATATGATATGGTTCCGGGTTCCAACGCAGGCTACTGTTCCCTATGTGGACAATTGCCATCCCCGACCCCAACTGGTTCAGGAGTAGGGGGGGTGGACCCTACATTTCTGATAATGTATGAACATAGGGGGGGGGTTAACCCCCTCACTTTTTGCCAAAAATGTATGGGAACTAGGGGGGTAACCCCTCAAAATGAGGCATGTATGAGTGCCAGATGCTGGAAATGTATTATTGGTAGGGGTATTGAACCTGAAAATGTATGCTTTGTGGGGGGCACCACTGACAAGAGCCAATGGATACCTAAACTTTTCTAAATGTATGCAAGCATGGGGGGTCTGCACCTCAATCCAATTGATTTTTTTTCTCCTGGGAAACCTACTGAAACCCATGGGGAAACCTGGGAATACCTGGGGTCACCGAAAATATTCTGCGCTGAAGACCCCGTTAGCTTACGCTTTAAACAAACACATGCAAACATATGCAAACACGATCAAGCACGCATCGCTCCCACTCCGAAGACATGACACTATTTTCTGAAATGTATGCATTGCAGGGGGTACCAATGACTACCTTAGCCAGATCTATTCCCTCCATTTTCCAAAAATGATGTGCTTTTCGGCTACCCAACCCCCTTAAAATACATTTTTCAAAGAAGGGTATTCCCCAGAAAAAAATTAAACATTCCCGGGGATCCTGGAAAAACCAAACCCGTAAAATGTATTAAACCACCCCCCCAAAATAAAAGATCCTGGGGGGGGTTGGATATCCCGACCCATGGATCCTACATTTAACGTACACCCACCGGGCAAATAATGTATTTAGGGGGGGTCCTGGGGAATCAATTTCTTGGAGAACGGTAAATGTATTCACCCCGCTTCGCGTGGGGTGGCCGCCCACACCGCAAGTTTATTTCGGTCCGTGAGAAGGGCTAAGGGTGGTTTTCCCCCGTGGGGGCTCTTCAAGCTAAGAAGTTTCAATAAGAAATCCTTCCAAAACATTGTTTTTGACAGTGTTTTTCCAATGTTTCCAGTCAAACAGACGGTAATTTACACGTTTTTTGCCATAAAGGCAGTAAATCCTTCCAAAACATTGCTTTTGACAGTGTTTTTGTAATGTTTCCAGTCAAGCATACGGTAATTTACACGTTTTTTGCTATAACGTCAGTCCAAAACACTTGTTTTTGCAGTGTTTTCAATGCTCTGGCATCCAAAAACCCTGCAAAATCTTGCTATGTACAATGTTTTTTTCATTTTTGGCCGTTTTTCCATTGCCGGAAAGCTACCAAAATGACCCAAATTCCATTTCAATACCCTCTTGCACTCAGACACCCAAAAATCCTCGAAAAATGTCGAAAACACCACCGTATTCTGGTCTCGGTGCGAAACCGTTTTTGGGGTCTGGTCTCGGTGCGAAACCGTTTTTGGCCCCCCCCCCCAGCTAAAGCTGATATAGCGACTGCTATATTAACAAATGTCATTGAGCATTTAGTGTTGCTGTTGCCCCCCAATAAGCACGCCTTCACCGCCAAATCGGTGTGGGCGGATTTTAGGGGGGGGAGAGGTCAGGTAAAAAAAATCCGCCCACACCGCTTTGGCGGTGAAGGCGTGCTTATTGGGGGGCAAAACAGCAACACTAAATGCTCAATGACATTTGTTAATATAGCAGTCGCTATATCAGCTTTAGCTGGGGGGGGGCCCAAAAATGGTTTCGCACCGAGACCAGAATACGGTGGTGTTTTCGACATTTTTCGAGGATTTTTGGGTGTCTGAGCGCAAGAGGGTATTGAAATAGAATTTTGGGTCATTTTGGTAGCTTTCCGGCAATGGAAAAACGGCCAAAAATGAAAAAAACATTGTACATAGCAAGATTTTGCAGGGTTTTTGGATGCCAGAGCATTGAAAACACTGCAAAAACAAGTGTTTTGGACTGACGTTATAGCAAAAAACGTGTAAATTACCGTATGCTTGACTGGAAACATTACAAAAACACTGTCAAAAGCAATGTTTTGGAAGGATTTACTGCCTTTATGGCAAAAAACGTGTAAATTACCGTCTGTTTGACTGGAAACATTGGAAAAACACTGTCAAAAACAATGTTTTGGAAGGATTTCTTATATATATATATGTTGGAGTTGGCTACCGGCATTGGCACATGGAAAAATTGAAGAAAACACTGTAAATAGCGGTATTTTCAACGGTTGGGGAGATAAGGGAATTGGAAGCATTGTCGAACATGATGTTTCGACCGGTTTTATGGCGACAAAAGTGTAAAGTACCGTGCTTTGAAGGAAACCATTGCAAAAACATGGAAACACATTCAAAGAACACGGGATTTGGGAGACTATCTAGGCGTCGTTGTCTAGCTATTTGAAATTCCGCAGCTTGGAGAGCCTCCAAGGGATAGAAAAGTGAAAATTCCATAGCTTGGGAAGCTGTCACGGCGGGGAAAAGTGAAAATTCCCTAGCTTGGGAAGCCCCCACGGGGGGGAAAAGTGAAAATTCCCTAGCTTGGGGAGCCCTCACGGGGGGGAAAGTGAAAATTCCCTAGCTTGGGGAGCCCCCACGGGGGGTAAAGTGAAAATTCCCTAGCTTGGGGAGCCCCCACGGGGGGGAAAAGTGAAAATTCCCTAGCTTGGGGAGCCCCCACGGGGGGGAAAAGCGAAAATTCCCTAGCTTGGGGAGCCCCCACGGGGGGGGGAAGTGAAACTTCTTAGCTTGAAGAGCCCCCACGGGGGAAAACCACCCTTAGCCCCTCTCACGGACCGAAATAAACTTGCGGTGTGGGCGGCCACCCCACGCGAAGCGGGGTGAATACATTTTTAGGGGTGGGTGATCAATTGCCCCAACACGGCGCCAAAAGTTTCAGAGGTGACAACGTCCGACCACGGACTGATCCATTTTCTAGTTTGGGAACAAAGGCTCACGCTCCGAACAAATCAAGCATGCTATCTTGTTTAACGCGCTGGAACGACAGCGTGTGCCACTTCCATAAGTACAAGTCTTGAAAAATACGTCTTCTTACGAAACTGGTGCCGTACGCTCGAGCCGGAGTTTTGATCTTTTGCAAGGTATGAAGCAAGGAATTGATTAAGCCAATTCCTTTTTAGTTCTGGGTTGGTTGAAATTTGCTTGGTCGAAATGGAAAAGGCGTCTAACAACTGAAGGAATATGGTTGAAAGCGGGGCACCGATTGACCAACAATCGGTATGCTGACAATTTGATGCTGTACGCAACTTCACTCGATGGAACGGGAAAACATAATGCAGATATTGTTCGAAGAATTGAATGAATGCTATTGGGCTAGAATGTAATGCGGAGACAACTTCAAACACGCTCACGACTTGCAACTCAGATCGGCTTTTGTTTATCGAAGTAGGCGACAGGATGTGAGGAAACGCACCGACGTTGAATGGCACCACCGCTCGCAATTGGGCTGGAAATTAAAACAATACCGATTGATTTTGACAAACAGGAATGTCTGTCGATATCAAATTCAAAACATGTTTTTTTAGAACTGCTGCTACACCCACAGTTGCGCTTGGATTAGCAATCCTTCCTTTGACACAAAAGCACGTGATGAAATTTGACCGGGCTCAAACACGAATGTTTCCATCGATACTTGGTTGGGTTCGAGATGACGCTGAAACTTGCGAGGAGACAATGTGTCACATGAAGCGCCGCTTCGAGACAACGCAATACCTTTCCAAGATTCAAGGTTGGTCACAGAATTAGCTGATTCAAGGTTGGTCACAGGATTAGCTGGAAGACAATATGATATCGCGCGGCGACTTGGTGCACAACATTTCTGGACATCCAAGGCTATCCATTGGCATCCGTTGGAGCACTGGGAACTGAATTTTTCATCGTGCCCAAGAGGAAGGCCAGGGCAACCTCTCAAAAAAATGACTGACAGGATCCAAAATTTCATCCAGTGACATGTCTCACATTGTAGCGCCATTTTGGCACCCCCATGTCCTGAAAGGACCGTAGCAACATGTGTCAAACTTTGACTCGAACGGCCGC